TTTAAATATATATAGTTTTATAAACGTTCAATGTTTTAAAAAAATTCTGCTATATATAATTACATATTTTTGAAATATAAGTAGTTCTTTTTTACATTAATTTATTATTTATGTACATAAAAGCTAATTTAGATATTAGTATTTATATAAATTAATATTAATATTTATATAAAAGTTACTTATAAAAATGTATATATACATATATATATTAAATATTTTACAGATTTTACATTAAAATATGTCAGAATAAAGTATAAAGTGTCTTATAAATTATTTATTTGGTAATAATTAACGTTAATATTTTCATATACAGAATAAATAAAAAAATTATATAAGAAAAATCATATTGCTATATATTATAAAAAATCAAATTGCTTTCAAAATCTTTATGTCTCTACGCACAATGAAAGTGTTAACAATGCATTATGTGTTTCTCATAAAATTTTGTAGCTTTAATTTCTTTCCTATTATTTAGAATAATTTATAAAGTGGATGAATTAAAAAAGGAATACCCTGTATGTATATATACATAGAAACAGATATATGTGTAAATATATAATTTTGTGTATGGCGCGCGCATTTTTTTTTTATAAGTGTGTGTTAAGTCTGTGTGCGTGTGTAAGCGCGTGCATGTATGTGTAAGCGCGTGCGCGCGCGCGGATACGTACATTTATGTATGTATAAAACGCTCCAAATAGAAATAATATTTGCCAATTAAGTAGTTCAGGCAAAATTTTGTTATTCTTCCTTAAAAAGTACAACAATAATTCAGTCTAATACATTCCAAAGCACCAATTTATAATTATTCGATCATAAATTCATACTTATTAAATTCCGCTATACCAAAGCACAATAATTTTTTTTATTTTTTATGTACTTTTTTCTAAGTAGACTAAAATCGAATTGCACCTAATGCAAATAGAAGTCATGCGAAAGTTTACAAAGAATTTTTTTCTCATAATATCAATTTCTTTTAACAAATTTTTGTACATGAAAATGATTTTTGTGAATAAACGCACTTTCGAATTTAATGGAAAAATAATATTAAAAGTTTATGAAATATCATGAATTTTCCGCAGCAGGAATTTACGGTACCAAAAATGTAAGAAAATTTCTAGTATATTATAAGTATGCAATAGATACTAAAAAAGGTTTAATATCGAGAAATTACAATTTCCAAAGAAAGATCTGTGAAATTATGAATCAATGATACTCATTTGTGCGTTTGTGTATTTTATCTTTAATGTGTATGTGCGTGAGCTTGTATCATTGAGTCCGCCCCACGAGTATAAATGTGAATGTATGTAAAAGTTTAGTAGAGTAGTAACGGTAACAGTAATAACAATAATAGTAGCGGTAGTATTAATAACAGTATGCGCAGTGATATTCATATCTGTATTATATCTGATAGAGTCTAATATTAGTCGTAGCAATAATAGCAATTGTCGCAGTTAATAATAATAGCAGTAAGTTTTGTGCAAGTAATCAATGACATTTGTTGTTACTAAATAACACAAATTGTCTTTGCGACAATTCTTGGAAGCTAGTTGATAGTTTACGACAAAGACACTTTCTAATGCAAAAATTTAGTGCGAAGAAAGCGCGATTAAGATTTTCAAGTCATCAAAGTCCTAAGCTTTCTTGAATCTTAAATATTTTAAGTCTTAATTGCAAAACAGAAGAATTAAGATAACATATCAAATTGAAGAATTGAAATAATATATAATATATCAATCACATAATTTTAATGAAATTGAATCATTGTTTTTGAAAAATTGATTTATCTTTCTTTTTCGAAGTTATTTTGTAAAATTACATGATTTTTGTTAAGTCTAGTCGAGTCTAATAAAATCTATAAATAAATTTTGAGCTTAAAGTATAAAATAATTTTTAAGTTGTTTTTTAGCATGATATCTTAAGACCTTCGATTCCATATGATTTTCTCAACAAATAGACAAATGAATATAATAGATAGCAAGACGCGATGCGCATAAATGTTCAATATAAATATGTGTGTGTGTGTGTGTGTGTGTGTGTGTGTGTGTGTGTCATCCATATACCGGATCCACGTACATATGTATGGATGTATTATAACTTTAAAAAAAAACACAAACTCTAAACTTGGCAGTATTATGAACAATCGCCCGACAGGCGTTTAATTGTTTTTCCTTATTATACTTGCTCTGCTTTTTCTGTCTCGTGCGGTTCTTAAATCTCGAAAAAGACATCTCAACAAGACGAGAATGACGTAGACGGTGAACGTCCTTGGCAGTGATCGTAGAATTGCGTGTTCGTTTTTGTCTTTTCTTATGCATCACTTCGATCTTTTTCGATTTGCTTTGTTAAATGTCTTGTGTAACTGTGACTTTTAACAATCTTTCTTTTGCAATTAAGCAGTATGTATTATTATAAGCGTTGCTAAGTTTAAGAAAAGTAAAGCAGTAAGATTAGGTACACGTGTTATTATGTAAAATACGCCATAATTTGAATTCCTGGATTGTTGAATTGTGAACTTTTTAAATTGATAGACCATTTGAATTGATAAATCATTTCATGAAGTTCTAGAATCATTACTTTTTCAAATTTTTAGATTCCTTAATTTCAAATCTTTTTAATAAATTCGTCAATCTTTTTCATTTTGATCAAATTTTGTGAAATTCTTAGAATATTAGTTTTTTCTTGGATTCTTGCATTCTATATGGATACCAATGGATATTGAATTCTTAATATTCTCTAATATTGAAAATTATTTGTTTTTTATAAATTTATTTAAAGTAGACAAATAAGAAATAATTACTTAATGGCAATTTAATCAATTGAGTTATTTATGTAATGTTGACTTATGTAATATATTGTAAAATATCAATTTAAGTTCTAACTTAAATTTTATTTAAATTTATTTCCTATAAAACATCTGTTAAGATTTCACATTATTGTGAAATATTATGAAATAATTCTCTCTCTCTCTCTCTCTCTCTCTTTCCCTCTCTATTTAGTTAGTATTTACATACCTATATCATTGCGATACCATTATGTTTAATATGCATATATAATATAATAACATAATGAATCTTTCCATTTCAGGCTTAAAATAAAAATGAAAAAATGAAAAAATGCAGCGTCTGAATGATTCTACAAAAGATTTCATTATCCAAAGAAATCATTAAGAATCTGAGAATCTTGAAATTTAATAAATTTAACCACTTCGAGAATTAAGGAACATGGAGCCTAAAAATTCAAAGATTTAGAAATCCAAGAATTCGTTATCTTTTAATTTTAATGATTAGAGACTAAATGTTTTCTTGTGTTAGCATATTCTGTTATGAATTTTGAGAACTATAAGGATTTTTTCATAACTTTTACTCTCATCAATCTTCTTTTTCATAATACTTTTTAAAATGTTCTATCAACTATATCCATCCTTAATAATCCACTTTCGCATTCTCTCTATTTTTTCCGGGTTTTTCTACCTACCTCTTTCTTTTCTTTCTGTTATTCTTTACCCTTTTCCTTTTGTTGTTATCGTTCTAAGAATAACACAGCAAACTTGTGTGATTTCGCTCACATTTTTTAAATAGCAAATTCGTTTTTTATTTCATTAAAAGATTAAGACGGACGGTTAAATTTCAAGTATTTCTTTTTTATTTTTTGTTTCTGTTTGTTGGTGAGCCGATGTCCGCTGCTGAAGGCACAAGGCTTTGCACTAGAACTCGGTCACCTAGCCTAGCTCACTCATCTACGATCTATTACCGAACTAATCTCATGTTCTTATGGGAATTTCTTTAAATCTCGAGCAGGAGCATATAATACATATTAATCAACATTTCGATATCTTGATGCTTTTGATAAAAATAATTAAAAAATTTTTATATATTTTTATATTATAACTAAAAATATTCAAAATTATTTTGAAGAGCATTATACAAATCTAATAAGAGAACGTTTGAATGATAATAATAAATATAAGAGTACTTTTATAATTAATTTATCTTAAAAGTGCAATCGCTCGAGAATTAATTCAATTCGACAAGTTTCATCGCTTTCGTTCTACACATTACTGCTTTTTTCATCAATCGATCGCCACGTCACTTCCCCTCGTTCGATTGCTTTCGAATTTCCATTAATTTGGAACGAAAGGTGATCGATTCGTCTTAAGCATATCATGCATTTCATTCGTCATTACTTAACTATCTTATAAAATTTAATCTTCGAGCGTTTAACGGATGAAGGAAACCGATTTTAAATTGTTTCACTCGATCGAAAATTATAGCGCAAATAATAAATAACAATGTTCAAATAATTTCAAAATTTTTAATTTTTTAGATTCGTCTATTTTTCAGATTTTCAATTTCTTTTGGATCATTATCTCTTCTTAATTTAATTTACTTCGAATTATATATAAAATGCATAATAATTGCAAATGTATAACAGATGCGATATATAAGGAATTATTATGATATTATTTACCATATAATTTTCGACTCAATAAACAAATTTAAAGTTGGTTTACTCTATTTTTACTTAAAATATATATTTTTATTCCTTAATAAAAAAAAATATGTATTTTCCCATATTTCTGTTTGAAAACAGTTCAATCGGAGAGTTCTATACCAGTTACCCCAAAAAAAAGACATCAGTTATATTCATTATGAATATTATTATATTTCCTCGCACATTTTTGCAGGACGTCCCATACAGTTCCTTTTCTTAAAAACGCACATTTTAGTAAAAATTTCTGCTATAACAATTTATATATATATATATATATATATATATATATATATATATAAATGAAGATAATTAGCATATAATGCAAACGTTCTATTTTGCTTCCTGTCTATTATTTACGAACACCATATTTCTATACCCCGTAAGAAAATAATACATTTTAAAAAATTCCTGTTTCATGACATTTAAATAACATGTTATATATACACAGTGTATCTCTTAAAAAATATATATATATATATATATGTCTTTCGCGAAAATAATGTCATTCCTTTTGCCTTTTCTCTTTTCTGGGGACGTCCTGTACATCTTTATGTGACTTGTATTAATAAAAATATTAATACATATTTTCAAGACGCGCCATCCTGCTGCGGTGTAGATCCTTTCCAATCTCTCCTTTTTCACCCTTCTCATTTTCGCTCTAGTCTCTCCTTCTCTCTCCCTCCCCCTTCACCCCTCTTTCTCTTTTTCACACACACGCGCACACACACACGCCTGTTCCCTACGCTCTTTCTCTCTCTCTCTCTCTCTGGTATAAACAATGTACATGCTAGTAAGATATATTATGCTGTATGTGTATGAGTGATATAGATTCTATGCTATTGTTATACATATCATATCTATTTTCTTTTTCTTTTTCGCGCATTCACGTGACGCTGCTCAATAGTACATATCTTACGGGCTTAATTCTTTTTCATTTTTTTCATGGCAAAGATTTCTGGGAAAATGCTGTATTATTGATTACAGATTTTAATCTTCAAATTTGTTAATCCTCATCAGCAGCATCGCCGATTGTTTAAATCATTCTTCGTCACGATTTTAGTCTCATCCTGCTAATATAATTTTTTATTCTTTCCCTCTCTTATAGTAACCGCACTTGCTGCTATTCATTTTCTCAAGAATGACAAATGTAACAACATACATTCATCAAATATATCAATACCTTATCGTATAATACATTACATTTACATATCGATTGTGTGTAAGGATGTATCCAGGTAGAGGAAATAGCGATAAAATGTAAATTGCAGGTAGCTTTCTTTATATATCTTCAATCTCTGTTCTCTATGTATCACAGCCTGGGCCGCGCCACTGCCTTTCTCTCACAATGATATATTTTATTCCAATTCCCACATCCATTCCTTTCCTTGTTCCTATTTGGAACTTGTATATTTCTGCGCGTATCTTCAATGTGCGAGGCCTTCCCTGTTCCTCATTTTTGAACCGGTCTCACACGGTTCGCGTAAGTCTACAATCATGCAATCAACATAATATTTCTGTGATTCTGTGAATGAAAGAAAGTATTGATAATATAATATTTCTGCGATTCTGTGAATGAAAGAAAGTATTGGTATGATTGGATAAGTGCCTATTTCAATTTAAATAGTTTTGAATAGATGAATATTACAAAAATTTCATATTTGATAAATGGCTAGATCTACGAAGATCAATAGTTCCATAAATCATACAGATATATCATGTACACTTTTACGATGGATCTTTGAAAGAAATACAATTTTTTAAATTTTCGATGAATTCTCGATTCTTTAAAGTGTATCTATGGTATTATGTAGACCTCTCACATTGCATTGTATGCATCACCAACACGTCATTTTTAAGCGCATGTTATCATTTTTCATTTTGATAAATTTACAACTTTATTTTTTGCAGTATCTCATATATATCCGTAAAGAATAACTTTTTATGCGTCACACACAAGTCTCACGCGAATAGTATAGGACCGGTTTACATGCTATGCTTGTCTTACAAGCCATAAGGATCGATCTAGGATGATACCTAGAGATAGTCGATCAAGAAAGAACAAATGATCGAAATGAATCTAAGATAGCACTGATACAATATGTTGACTTGCGATGTTGAGGCAGTGGCATAATAGTGCACTAGTACAAGAATTACGCAGGCCGTTTTCCACGTCCATGCGTCCATTGACGCCGTTGTTGCTGTTGCTGCTACTGCGACGTCAAAAGATTTATTCAGCCGATCGGCGCGATCGCCGTTGATCGGCGACTGGGAAACTAGGGCACCACGTCCCAGATTTCGGCGAGGAAAAGTGGCAGCCTCTTGTTTTTCAATTTCAGATTCAAGCACATTTCACTGTTTTGATTGCCAAGGGTTCTGAGTTCGGTTAGAACTGATAGAAGTTTAGCGAAGATCGTACCAGACTTCGGTCGACGACGATTATCCACATATGCTTTCAATGTCTTCAAATAGATCTCCTGAAGCTTCTCCACTTTTCTGCTTTCCAATAAATTGGGTCTCTCTGCAATAATCATTATTACATACAGCACAGAATCTTACGATTATATTGCAACAATGTTACATCATTGCAAATTGCAATGTAATATACACAGAGATAGCTCATATTCAGTATGCACTTATAACAATGTTGCGCGCTAACAAGTATTGAGATTCTATAATATATGTAATGTAAATTACATACGAAATGTGCGCTAACATCGTTAGACTCGTTGCGCATTCTGAATATGGGCTGAATATTATTGTATCTAGTAACATATTTTGCAATAATAAAGATATTAATGTTTTTCTAATTGTAGATGCATATTGAAAGTGAAAAAAAATCTATTGTATATATAAAACTAATAGACAGCAGATTTGCAAAGTGGATGTTTACTTAAAAGATAAAAATTTTTATAGAGTTTCCTATAAATTTCTAGGCATGAATTTGTTGTTACAAAAATGAATCTCTTTTTTTTAAATATTTTATTTATGATTAAAATATGAAAACTATTGAAAATAAAGTTTGTATCTCTGATATTTTACAAGATCATTATACGAATATCACAATATATTTAAAATCTATTATAAAGCAAAATTGGCTTGGATTTATATTGGCTTGTATTTAGAAGTAAAATAAAAATTAAAATTAAAATAAAATAAAAAGAGGGAATAGAGATCAATAAAACAAGGAAAGAAACAAGAGATGTTTATAATCATATAATTTAATTCGATAATATTAAAGCGAGACGGTTCGACTTTGCTACATCTGCTTTTGTTAATGTAAAGTTCAATAAATATATTACATTATTTATTTGATTTGAAATGTATTATTTTAAAATAATAAATAAACTAATTATTGTATTATTGATTGCAAAATCTCAATTTATTCTTTTATGATGATACACTTTTGTATCATGAAGTTATATTAATATATCAGATAACCAAAAAAGTTTGTGCGATTTTTTTCTATAAAAAATAAATCATTTTAAGAGAAATTTATGCAATAAATACATTGACAACGCGCGCGCAATACTGATATAATAAACATAAACGCATCACTACACATTACTACATCAATATCGCAAGCATACATATGCACAAATCGTTAGTAAAACAGCGATGTCGTAGAATTCAGTCGTTGTTTCAGCATCGCCTTAAGGAGATCCTATACTGAAGACCAAACTCTACAGATTTGTATGTATATATGTATTGTTCTTCACAATTTTCATTGAAATAGTGTCCTATAAGTTCAATTAGTTTTTTTCATATAAAAGTTATATTAAAATTAAGTTAGAAGCAATGGGCTCTATGAATAAATCAAATATAGTGAAAAATAGCCTATAAGAGCTGACACGGATATTGGTGTGTTAAATTCTTATTGTAACAATATCCAACCACACGCGATCTGCGCCACACGGTTTGTCGGACTTGAAACACAACTCTTAAAGTTATATTAAATTTGATTATGTAGTGCGTCCTCTTCAAAAACAGTTGAGAGCACAATTGCTATCTTTAGTTTGTTTTAAAACTCGTTTCTACGAATAAGAATATTTTTACTCGTGTCCTAATAAAGTTATATTGTAAAGCATTTGGTTTTCATAATACTTGCATTTATTACAAAAACTACTTATATGTAATTCACAACCATTATCCATCGACTTTCATGCGTTGTCAACTATTACAATACAAAACGATTCGTAGGACAGATATTTAAATCGAACATCGCTTTTATTTGGTTACCTGATATATTTGATGCAGAACGCTATCGTCTTTTTTTTTAATGCATACCTGAAAAGATGACAATAGCTGTGAGCAAAGCATATTCGGCATTATTGACCCTCATAGAGTACATTTGCCGGCAGAATCGTAAAAGATCCTCAATGGTTTCTCCCATCCCGGCAGCGTCATAACTGTCACGCGTGTATGATTGATTGTTAGCAAAAATGATGCTGTCGGTTTGCACATCATACTTTCTTGCCATTCGTAGCATCATCACCTCACTGGAGCATGCCTTCAGCAATGTGATTTGATCTTCGCGTAACAACTCATTAAAACCGGGTAATCTCTTCGAAAACTCAACGATCAACTGAACAGTCAGAATTGTAATTTCAGTAATATGCCTGAAACTATATTCACTCGGATCTTCGCCTTCCATAGGTTGATTCTGAAAAACAAAACGTATTATATCAAAATTATTTGTCACGTTAACCATTAAAATTAAGAATCTGTTATACAATATTAAAATAAATTGAATAATATAAATAAAGCAGATGCAATAGTAGTTTCAAAAGTTATTAATTATAAAAATAGAGATTTTTTTTATTACAGATGATTGACCACAAATCAGAATCAGGAGACGCGGGAGCGGCTCCCACTAAGTATATTTTTTCGCTACATAACAATCAGGAGATGTTTGTACTAACAGAGACGCTACAGCGTATCCTTTACTGGACGGATAACGCTTCTGTAGAAATAAATTATTATTTCTTTTAATTATATGGATATTATTGGTAAATAACTATTTTGTAAAAAAATCTATGTTTTTCCAATCACAATGCTGTAATAACGATGTTCATAAGTGTATTGGATGCATAAGTGCATGTATTTTTTTGCCCGATTTTATGTCATTCAGATACGTCGTCGTCGTCGTTGTCTTCATCGCAAAATTTCTATCTTGTCCCCTTTGGTCTATAATTTCACCGCCGTTGTTGTCGCCGTCTTTTTTTTCGCTAAATTTTCGTGAAATTTCAGTGTTGTATGGTCTCTTTGGTCTGTTATATCGTCGTCGTCTTCTTCTTCACAAAATTTTAATCTTGTCCCTCGTCTCCCCTGGCTTTCTCGTCTCTCTCACGACTTTCTCATCTGTTTCTCTGCTCTCCCGTTTCTCTCACAACTCTCTTGTGGTCGCCGTCGAGGAAGTAAGTGTCTACGTGTTTGTCGTCGAGGAACTAAATGTCTAGGTGTCGTCTAAGTCTTCGCCGTCGAGGAACTAAGTGTCTGGTGTTGTCTAGGTCTTTGCCGTCGAGGAAGCGAGTGTCTACGTGTTCGCCATCGAGGAACTAAGTGTTTTAGGTGTCGTCTAGGTCTTCACTGTCAAGGAAGTAAATGTCTAGGAGTTGTCTAGGCCTTCGCTGTCGAGGAAGTGAGTGTCTACGTGTTTGTCGTTAAAGGTATCATGATAGACATTCAGAATCGGCAGAAATCTCAACATGACACATATAGGATAAGAATTTGTGATATTTGAGTCGCAATATCGAAGACTGTAATATTAAAAGCTTGTAGAACGAGTGTATACAAAAGACAGAACAAATTCACTTATAATATTGTAGTGCGAAAGTACATAAATGAATGCGGACTCGCTAATTTATAAATAATCTCTTTATTCGGCGAGCGTATGATCTTTCCGATTGAACGTCTGATTTAATTCTATTTTGTTTTCCGCGAGTCTCTTTTTTAATCAAATTATTAATTTTCGTTGCTAAGTCGTATTAATACGATGATCATATAATTGAACATTGCGCGTTATTACATTACATCGTACAACCGGTATTCTTAACGGAATGATTCTACGCTGATTCTTTCTACTACAATATTAATTAAAAATCAATTTTGAGGATTTTAAAAAAAAAACATCGAAAATAATTGCACTGATTTTGAACTATCTATATTATAAATCTTTTATATACATGTATCTTGAATAATATATTATTACCAGAAAAAAAAACAATTTTGCCAGATAAAATAAAAGATAAAATATATCCTTTTGTATGACTCTATTCATACAAGAAAAAATTTCGATAATCTTAAAAATTTGAAAGTAATAACTTTGTCTCATTTTTATCACAGATTCTTTATATAACACATACATGTGTATATTTACTTTATTATACATATACATATGTATGTATTATATACAATAATAAAGTAAAAATATTGTTCAAAATAATCAATTTATAAATTGAAATTTATAACATAATTTTATATAAAAGAGATAAACAAATTCAGAGAAGAATATAAAATATAGAACGTATGTACAAAAAATAAAATTATTAATATTTCATTATCAGCCCTTGTAAAAAAGAACTACTAGTGCAGTGATAACACTATTGAAATGTAGCAGTGGCACTGCTAGTATAGCTGGTGTTTTTTGACACTACTGAACTAGTGACACTAGTAGTTCTTTTTTACTAGGGAGTATTCAATTATTACAATTGTCAGTTATATGTTGCATTTTATAATCAAAAATGTATTGCTAACAATTTAAAAAAATGTTCTAGAAAATAAATGAATAATTTTTTAGCAGAATAACTCTAAGAGAATAACTTTATGGAAGGCAATTATATAATAAACAAGATTATCATTTTGTTAAAAAATGATATGGATAATCTTCAAATTATCAGAACAATAACCTAGAATGAATTCTTTCTCTATTATCGTAACTATTCTTTCAAGTCGTAATAATTTTTGTTGTTGTAACAATATTTTCACATTTTTAAAAATATAATTAAACGCGTTTTTTTCTTCAACGCATATATTAAAAAGATAAATAACTCAGAATAAAAATTTGAGATATAAATAAAATGGAAAACACATAATTAACACATACTGTGATCCTTTTCAGATCCTCTTCGCTTGGTTGTTCGAATTCACATTGAAAAGACACGAGCCTATTTATCAGTTCTTCCTGTTCAGGACTAATAGGCTTAACACAGGTGTAAGAATTGATAGGAGTAAGAATGCCGCTGCTTCCGGACATAGATAACGACTCGGCTTCTGCTGGTTCAATTTTGATACCCATTTGTTCACCCATTCCAGCACTGCCTGGTGAACCATTCATTGTTGTACTGTTCGGTTTATCCTTTTCCTGCAGAAAATTACATTAAGATAGATATATAAATAGTTGTAATAGAAAAACTCCGCGAATCTAAGACACTGAATGTCTTAACATCTCCAAGAAAAATAATTTGAATTTCCAAAATTAAAATTTTCACAAATTATCTTAAATAAAAAAAATGGAAATTGTGTATATATTACAAACTACATTAGAAACTTTTGTCTAAATGATAATAATATAGTACAGATACTAAAGTATAAAAATTATAACGTAATTCTCATAATTATTTATACAGGATGATTTAGAACAAATATAGCAAATTTTGATAGATCATTTAGAACATAATTCTGGATATCAGATGATGAATGTCAACAATAACTCAACTTTTACGATATACATAAAATGGATAATGTGCAATTAAATATGTCTCTTTAAAGTAGTTATATGTATCCTTTACACTAATTGGTTTATCAGGTCCTTACTCTGTGCATGTACAAGTATAAAATTATTAAATTAAGCATACAATAAACATTTTGCAAATTATTTCATATTTTCTGTCGAAATATGTCAGAATAAAATATATAATATCTCGTAAATTGTTTTTTTAATCTTATCTTAGGTACTTATATGGAAAAATTAACAAGGTAACAAATTAATAAAAAACTACTACACAAATCAATTAAAAATATATATATCAAATTTTTATAGAATTAAAAAATTAAAAATGATTTTAAATAGTAATTTTTAGTAATTAATTCTATAAAAATTCGATAAGCTCTTTAAATCAAAGTCGTATATGTAAAAAAATTTTTTTAATTTTCTCTAAAATGCCAGATTTGAATAAATCTTCGAGATAAAGCATATGTAGTAAATTTTAAGTTGCATGTGTTTTACAAAATAAAATATTTATACTCAATAAGAAGCACGATACAAAAAATTTCATAAAAATGTTATTGTCAATAACAATCTTTAATCTAAAATAAATAAAAAATTTAAAAGAAAAATCAGAAAAAATTTAATCAATTTGTTTAAATATTAAGAAATCATTTACAAATTTATGTACTAATTTGTTTGAAGATAAAGAATTATACTTACAATTAGTACTATCAAAATTATTGTTATTTTTTAATTATATTTATTTTATACTTGAAATTATTATTTACATGGTCTGTCTTAAAAGTAATAATACTATTTTTGGGGGCCTAATCAGAATTGTCAAGAAGTGGATCCATTGGACAGGGCATTAGATGCGGGATGTTATACAATCTGATTCTTCTCAGTTATTTCTAAGCCTGTCTAACAGTCGATACCATCAACGATCAGCAAAATGCGTTTTAATTTTTGTGTCTTGTCACGGGTGAAAATTCAGCACAAACTATATTTTGAGCAGCGTTACGCGATCTGAAGATAAAGCAGCACCTCCATAAGCAAGTTCTCAACATCTCCAACGTTTCGGAACTAGATTTCTTAGTTTCACGCAGAATTTGATCGCTGCTCGAGACTGCTGAATTTTCGATCCTGACTAGACACAAAAATTACAACGTACTTTAAGCCGGTTCTACATTAGTTACAAGCCGATCGCAAGCTTGTTGCGACAGCCAATCCGAAGCATTGATTTCAAAATTGCCGATCGCAAGCTTCAGATTGGCTGTCGCAACAAGCTTGCGATCGGCTTGCAACTAATGTAGAACCGGCTTTACTGACGGTATCACAGGGTGCTTTCCAACAAGAAGAGCCTGTGTGTTACACAGTTGTGACACAGAGAGACATTATAATATACAGTAACTGGAACACTAAAGTTACCAAACATGGCCACTAGAGAACGTAAAAGACTGACGTAGTAAAGAAGGAAGAAGACGAGCGAGAAGCAAAACTAAGGCACTATAAGATGTAGGTATTCCTATCCGCCATCTTGGTTCCAATTGGTTTAATAGTTACTTTCCATTTTCACATAAATAATACTGAATCTAAAGTTATGTGAGTAT